CTGCCCTGAACATTCCTTAACCAGGTCCCTGCTCCAATCCATGGCCATGCACAGCAAAGGGCAGGACAGGACTGGCTGAAAAGCCTCATTTACCCAGCCCCAAATGCAGGATTAGTGCAGAAAGCCCAGGGAGCTTTGGGATTATCCTGTTCTCCACTTTGTGCTGCAGAGACCAAGCAGAGATTGCACAGACTGAGCCACTGCTCCAGGAAAAGTGGGGAACGAGGGCAAAAAGCACCTTTGATCCTTTCCAACCTCAATAATTCCATGGTTGATCTCCCAGGCAGTGCTGGAAATTTCCCACATGCAGGAACACACAGACCTGGCTGGGGAAAAGTCCCTGCAATGCTAAAGGGGCTGCTCTGGGGGAAACTGGAAAATCAGTTTTGTTTTCAACACCAGGCATTCCATTCAGCCTTCCCAGGCACTGCAGGGGCTGACAGCTCCATCTAAGGGCACTCTGGGAAGCAGCAGCTGATTTCAAAATCATCATTACAGAGATTTTTATTGTACTTGAAAACCTTCCTGTAAGAGGGAGTTACTGAACAGACCATAGCCAGCCCCTCACCCAGCCAAGTTCTCCCTCTGGCAGGTTTAATTTGCCATGTAACACTCCATAAAAAAATATTTTCATACTGAATTCCTCATTTTAACATTTAGAAGTGTGGAGCAGCTGTTGGACAGCAGCACAGAGTGATGATTTTTCCACACCCCTGATTCATTCTCTGTGCAGGGCACAACCTTTACACACCATCATTTCATTTGTGCAGGAGACAAGCTCACTTCATGCTGACTTTCCTGACAAGTGCAGAACAAGCAGAAAAATCTGCTGCTTAAGGAGAAAGATGAAAGTTCTGAGTGCTGATTGACTGTGAAAGCAAATGGAAATAACCACAGAAAAAGAGGTTTCCATGAACACCAGAGCAGCACCAACCACTTCTCAGTAAGGAATGGGGTGGCAAAAGTTCATTTCTTTCCTCTGGAGAGTTTCCAGTGTGGAAAACACGATAAAGAAGTGGCTTTTTTCTGACACTCTCACAAAGATTATAGAGTAAGGAAAAATTCCATAGGGAATGCCAAAAGCTGGACCTGGANAGATCTGCAGAACTCTGCAGCTCTCAGGACCTCCCCCAGCATTCTCCAAGGCACTTTGAGGCTGCTGGGAGATAACAAGGAGGGACACAAAGACCTTGGAGCTGCTGTTCCACCCCTTCAACTGCAAAACTGGCATTTAGGTTTTGCCAACCAACAGAACTGTCTGTGGACAGTTCCCACATTTTCCTGCTGTGCTCCTGAGCCAGGTTGGCAGCACAGGGTTTGTTTGAGCAGCAGAGGGTCAATCCTTCACCAAACACACCCTGGCTGTGGGTTGTCCCCTTCCTTAGGCACCAAGCACACAACAATTCCAACAACAAACACGAAACATCACCAGAACATCACACATTGAACCTTTCTGAGCCTGATGTGGAAGCTGAAGAGCTGAGACTGCTCTGCTCTCACTTAGCTTGACCAGAAATGTTTGCGAGCAGCTGATTCAGAAACACTCCCTCAAGCACAGAGGTACCTCATCGAGCTTCTGCTGGAACAGGCGCTTGATTTCCTCCTTCTGGGCCTGGCAGTGGGTGAACAACTGCTGGGCTGTCCCCAGCAGCTGAGCATTCTTCTCCTGGAAAAGGGAAAAAACGAAAAAACACACTTTGAGCACCAGCTGCAGCATGGGCCACCTCAAGGAGAGCTGTGGAGCACTTCAGGAGAGAACCTGGATGCAGGAGAGCTCACCCAGCCCTGCCCCAGCTCCTGAAAACCTGCATTTGTTGGGTGTGATACTGGTGGGGTTAAGTCAGCTGTAAAGAGCTTTTAAGTAGTGAATTTCTGACTAAATTTAAGTAGGTTTTAAGTAGTAAAGAGCTTTTAAGCAGTGAATTTCTGACTAAATTTAAGCAGGTTTTTCCTCCTGTATG